AGGTAGTGAGACGATGGCTAGCCTTTGGCCCAGTTCGAATTGTTACACAGCATCCAAATACATCGGGAAACAGAACGAAAACGATTGTAAATGAGATGCAAATTTGTATACTCTCAGAACGGTAAGAGGATTTTCATAAATTTCAATCAAAGATGATATTGTTTTTGAAACCTAGATATGTCGTCATGAGTTGGATTCTTGAGATTAAAATATCTTTGATATAACAATGGGTAATAGCTGCGCTCATGCGCCAATCCCCGGCTCACTCGCCACTCTCGCTCGTACCAACCCCCGGCTCACTCGCTACTCTTGCTCATGCCAACACACGGCTCACTCGCCACTCTCGCTCGTGCCAACCCCAGGCTCACTCGCTACTCTCGCTCATGATGGCTCAAGTAGATATATGTAAAAAACAGGGGAAAAAGGTAATCCTCACAAAAGCGTATCCAATCTTCACATTTATTGAACTCAACATTTCCATTTTCATTTCTTGTTGCTACAGAATTTTCAATTGTACATTTGTAAATTGTATTGCCCATTGTTATGAACTACAATTATTGTTGGATTTCATTTCATTTCTGTTCTGTTCTGTTAAATTTTTTGTGTGTGTGTGTGTGTGCTCTGTGCCCTGTTCTGTACTCTTCAAATAGCAGTAGATTTACTTCCATTTGACATTTTCATGGCAATTAAGATTACAATTTGGAATTGTGAGTGGCAATGTCAGTTTATTAGCCCTTTCCCAACAACAACAAATAAAAAGGGGGAATTAAATGAATAAAGTATGTGTATGTATGTGTATGTGTATGTAAGCAATTAAGAGGACACATGATAAATGTAGAATTAAATTGAATAAAAAAAAAAAAAAAAAAACGTTTGCCAAACGTATTTTATTTTGGTTTTTCCTTTCACTTGTAGTATTGAGAGTTTTCTGTATCATTTCCTTTCGAGTTGAAGTTTTATGGGCCCGCAAAAAATGCTCTAATTATATTCCAGCTCCTGTAGGTGTTTACCTTTTCAGATCGTTGCCAGTTGCCACTCAGATGCTGTGTTGTATTTGCCTCAGAATTTAGGAAAATTTTACGCAACGTCGCCTGCTAATTACAGTGTAGACCCCACCATCCTCCCTCTCTCTCTCTCTCTCTCTCACTCTCTCTTCCTGTATCTATCCATCTCTGTCATTTTGTGTGTCCTGAGTTCCCAGAGCGCTCTTCTCTCTGATAAATGTTTGCACAATAACAAACAGTACGTACTGTTGGCAACTCTGGCTCCGACACTCACAATTTTCAGCAAATAGAGCTTCGAATGCATATGCGTACTGTTTGGTCAAGGAGTAGCCCGGGATGTGCATGTTTATGTGTGTGTGCGTGGCAGGATGGTTGACAAAATATTTAGCTAATTTATAAAATGCACTTGTGCTTCCATACTCCATTCCCCATACCCCAAAATGCATATATGAGCAGGTCTTTGGCCAACAAAAGACAGCGGGTCCTGCCAAAGTGCAGGGCAAACAATACGAGTATGAAACGTATTTTTTTTTTTTTGTTAGCTTCAAGCACCAATAAAGAATAATTGATACCCTATAAAGCAAAAAAAAAGAGACATAATAACTCTTTTATTGCTGAAATATTCCACAATTCAAAGACATATCCTTCATCTTTTGCATCCAAAGCCTTAAAGGATATCCCAGAATCGAGAGACTCGGTTTTTAATGTTTTTAAAATATTATATACAATATCCGGTATTATGTCCATTGGGCGGGCATAAATATATACTATGTATATACATATATATGTAAACATAATTCATTTTAAAAATCGATTTACTCGTCCAGAGTTTCGTCCTGTGTTCTGTGTCCTGTAACGCAGACATTGTCGCTGCAGTTTATGAGTTTATTGTTTACGCTGCCTTTCAGCCATAAATATTTGCAAAGTGCTTGTAAAAAACAAAAAAGGTGACCAAGAACTGGTTGAAGAGAGATGCAGATGGAGTCCATAAAGATAGCCACGCACAGAGGAGTCCAGCCCCTCCGCAGTATCTGGCATATCCGGATGGAGTGTTGATGAGGCCCCAAGATTGCTAAGGAGAGAGGGAGAAAAGGCCAATAACTTTGTGAAACACAGCATCCATCGCATAAAACATAACTTTTAAATGGACCGTCCTATACATTTAGTACGATGTTCCAATAAGCTCCAACTAAATCTTTAATTGCTCTCTCACTCCTTCCCCGGCTCCAATCAAATTGGCCCTGATTCCTTTTGGCCCTGTGCCGTGACTCACCTTTTGGCTACCGTACGCGCCACCAAAAGCCATAAAATTTAATTTATTTGTCTCTAATAATTTCCCATGGCAACTGTTTGTTCTGCAAATAAGAGGGGCATCAGGGGTATATAGGGAGCGGTGTGCACACAATCCCTCTCTCTCTCTCTCTCTCTCTCTCTAACCACCTGCCTTTAGGGTATCTTCAGGGTCCAGCATTGTTATGGAATGGCTTAAGGCTTCCCCAGAGCTCTGATGAAGCAACAAGAAGATGGACAAACACACACACACACACACACACACCTCCACCTCGGCCCAACACTTGATTTGGTTTGCGTGCCACATTTGAATTGAGCTACAGCTCAAGTTGAAGGACCGCTCGTAAAGTTGCCTTCTCCCTACCTCCCCTGCCCACAATTAAGCGCAATTGGTGGCGGCCATAAAACTGGAGGCCAAACAGAGGCAGGGCCCAAGCAATTAGTACGTTCTGGCCAGCACACAAATTGAAACTAAATACTGGTTAATAATTGAACCCCAATAGAACCCCAAAGCTGCAGTTGGTTGCATTTTCCCTTCTTCTTCTTTTTTGTTTTATTATTGCCTTGGCTGAAAGGAGGGAAGGTCCGGGTCGAGATTTCAAGCCAAACAATTGACTTATCATTTGACTTTGTGCGGCAAATCCCAGAGGAGAAATCAAACGGAAGGGGGCGGGGCTAAACAATGGCGAAATTCCACGCAATCGGCTTATGCTGCTGCCGCTGCTGCCGCCGCTGCTGCTGCTGACATTGTTGCTGCGGTTTGATGTCCGCCCTCTGGGCGCAGGACAACCCAGCAACAACGACAATGGCAGCAGCGGTGGTTGTCCCGCAGTGTAGCCAAAATGCGAAACAATGAACCGCATAGAGAGAATCAACAATAGCTTTAGAATCGGGCATGGGGCATGGGGCATGGGGCATGGGGCATGGGCGTTCCCCCAGCCCCTCTCCCAAGTTCAGAGCAATTAAAGCCACGGTTTTCTGTTGACCTTATTTTCTAGAATAAAACTGCAATTTTATGTTTTCTTTTATTTACTTTCTATATTTCTCTGGCAAGGGACAAGCCCTAAAAAAAGTATGCCAAAGAAATTAAGTGCTGGAAATTATTAAAGGGGCGCGGAAACCACAGTACTTATTATTGAAGCTAAAATTATAACAATTTTTTGCTGAAATGCGGATGTTAACAGTAGTATTGAAAACTATTAGTGTTACAATATTTTTTCGTTCCCAAAAGTACCCTGGATGAACAGGCAGCGAATCGATTTATATTAAATATTTTCTTAGTTCAATAAAATATATTTCATATGTAAATTAAATATATTTTATATTTAATGAAATATATTACATAATTAAATAAGAATATATATCATAATTAAATTAAATATATTCTTATTTAAATTAAATCTTTTCTTATTTGAATTAAATACATTTCATATTTAAATGAAATTACAATTAAATATTTTCATAAGTAATTTAAATATATTTCATATTTAAATTAAATATTTTCTAATTTAAATGAAATTTGTTCTTATTTAAATTAAATACATTTCATATTTCTATTAAATATATTTCATATTTAAATTAAATTACAATTAAATATTTTCTTTAGTAATTGAAATATATTTTATATTTAAATTAAATATTTTCTATTAACAAAAAATTTTTATTAGTTAAGTTTAATCTTTTCTTATTTCAAATAAATATATTTCATATTTAAATGAAATTACAATTAAAGATTTTCATAAGTAATTTAAATATATTTCATATTTCATTTAAATATTTTATAATTTAAAAGAAATTTGTTATTATTTAAATTAAATATATTTCATATTTAAATTAAATTACAATTAAATGTTGTCTTAAGTAATTTAAATATATTTTATATTTAATTTAAATATATTTCATATTTAAATTGAATATTTTACATATTGAAATTACATTTATTTTATATAAATTTTACATTACATTACATTACATTTTTATTTATTTCATAAAAATGTTTTTTACTTATGATCTACTATTTATTTTAAATTTTTTATATCTTCAGATTAAGTATGGGCCATGTTAAAAAAAGCTATTTCAATATATTTATGATTAATTCGAAGGGAATTCTATTTATTTTATATATGTATGTAAAATATTTATTTAAAAATCAAATGTTTTATTTATATATGGATGTGTTTCTCTTTACTACACGCTTTTTTCTGAGAGCCTTAATAGCATATTTATCCCAAAATGGTCCATGCCCTAGATGACTACAGAGCGAATGCTATATTCCCTATTCCATACGTTCTTGTCTTGGATTTATTGGCAAATTATCAGCGTCGAACGCTTGCTAACCAAAAAAAAAACTTTTAGAAATTTGCATAAGTTTGCTTAGCAATTGAAATTCCCTCTTCACTGAATTGAATCCTTTTCTTTCCTGTTTTTTTTTTTGTAGACTCTGTACCCAGCTTTTTAGGTGGAAGGACGCGAGACGGATAAAGGGGAGCCACAACGAACTGAGATAAAAATTCAATTAAGACCCGGCCCCCATTCCGTTAGCATTCCAGCGGGCAGCAACAACGAACACCTTTTGTCAACTAATTACATGTCGGCAGCCAGGCCAGGCCAGGCCAGGCCAGCCCCCCCGATGGCCGACGAAAGGTTAAAGTAATTTGCAGAGAAGCGTTCTTTGGCTTTTAATTGGAAAAAAAATACGCTTTCGCATTGAGTGACAAAGGTGTGATTTATTATATTGAATTGCTTTTGGGTCTTTTTTTTCGTTGCCTTTCTCCGAATTCTTTTTGCTTTGCTTCGCTTTCAATTGTCTGCAAAGTTTCTTGTTTACTGATTTTGTTGGCCCAGCAATTGGCATTTAAATTAAGCTGAAATTTGTTTTTCAATGCTTGAAAAGGGTTTCAAATGGTTTGTTTAGGTGGAAACGCAAAGGACGTGTTCTAAAATTAAATATCTGTGGCTCCTCAAACGGATCTTCCGTCTGACTTAACTAACTTGTGTCTGTCTGGCTAGTCAATTAACAAAGAACACTAAAGTTGAACTTATTCAACTTAAAATCGATGGCGTCGAGTATTTTTTCCGGCTCAAAGAGGCCTGTAGGACGCACCTCACGCAGCAGCTGTTTGACACTAAGTGCTGTGAGACGTACGAGCGAGAGGAGCGTCATGAAGTCCTCGCTCGGATGGTTGTCCCTCCATTTGCATACAGCTCGAAAGATATCAATTCCGGGGGCCGCAAACTTGTCCCGTCGCAGGAGTTCCTCAAGTGATTCCTTGGACAGTTGTGCGAAGGAATCATGTTTTACTATATCGGAGCAATTGTAGTCGATGAAATCGAGGCATTCTTCAGCCCGCTGGTTGAGATTGCTGCGGCGTGCGACATCCAGGATCGTGCACACATTACTGACAGAAAGATTCTGCTGCAGGTATTTTCCTATTCCCGACTCGACGGCCTGCAACTCGTAAAGATGGGCCAAATCGAGCACATCGATAATGGTGTCCACGTCCAGTGTGGACAGAGGCATCTTCCCCGAGTAGAGATATCCCAGGATTAACTTGAAGGCTTCAAGCGGCACGTCCAGCCGAACTTCCCGTTGGTTCGACTCAGCCAAACCGCCGTAGAGCAAAGCGCGGAAGTACTCAGAGCGCGTCGCCAGAACGAGACGGTGGCCCGGCAGCCGCTGATCCTCCACCAGGAACTCCACGTCCGAGTAGGGCTCGTTCATGCAGAGGCTGGCCATGTCCGCGACGAAGCTGTCGATCTCGTCGATGTTTTCCACAGTGGTCCCTTGATTTTTCTGGCTGCTCATTTTCGTCGCTGGATCTTTCTGTGTGGAATGGAAAAAATGATGTCTAAAAGTGTATTCTTTGTGTTCCATAAACTCACTTTATGCGCGCATTCAATGAATGGATTCAATGAAACGATGCAGAACGCACTGACTGTTGAAATCCAAATGATATTGTTCTCGCTCCGAGCGACTGAGCGCATAAAGTTTGTTTTATGCCTTTTTTTTGTTAATTTAATTGGTTTGCCAGCTCCTACTGTGTTTCGTTTATTTAGGCTTGAACATATCGATGTATCGATATATGGAAAAGTTGCGTTGCTTGTGGTTCCGTGGAGCGATCTTTTGAACCAGTTTCTAGAGCGTCGAAGGGCGCTTAAGTTTGGTTGACTACTGTTTTAAAGAATGACAGAAAAATAATAGAAAAATGATATCTTTTGCTTTCTCTGGGCCAGCAAAAAATTTCGAACTTCCTTAACAATTTTTAATTATCAGTCGGAGGTATTTTTTTTGTACCCTATAGCTATATAGACAGCTCCTAAATTGGCCAATAATTATTGGAAACGGAAACCTCTTCCCTTCCAGGAATCCATGAGATACCACTGATGCCGAAAGAGAGAGAGAGAGAGAGAGAGAGAGAGAGAGGAAATTAATTTATTGAACAGCTGCCAAGGCGCCACAAAATTTGAATATAGCTGCCGGTTACAATTTAATTAAAAATTCCCCTCGTCTGCGACAAGTCCAGGAAGAAACATCAAAGTTTTGCCTTTTGCCCGGAAGTGGAAAGGCGGCGCGGCGATGGGCGGAAACTCTCTCTGGCTAGCTTAAAAAAGTGTGCAAAAGGGAATTTCAATATTGGCATCAACAAATTCGTATGGATTATACAATTGTTGGATACGATTCCGATTCGCCCCTTCTTTTTGGTTAATTATATTTTAGAGATGTATGTACCTGTGGGGAGGGGGGGGGATAAATAGGAAATTAAAATCACCAACTGATCCCGTTGAATGGAGTATTTTCCATTCATTGATATCGCTTTGGGCGCTGCAGCTGCCAAATGAAATGAAATGACTTGATAGAATAAATCATTTGAATATCAATTCAATCTTTGATTCCATTGAATTATTTGTCACAATTTTTTGGTAAATCGTTTCTCGACCAAAAGTGAAAAATTAATTTTCCATAAATTTCAATGCGATTAGTTCCTATGGCACCGGGAATGGCAATTTATGTCGCAATTTCCTTGTCAACATTCTGCTCTCACATAGATACGGATACACGCCCCCACACACACACACACACACACACACACACACGCCCATAAATTATAAGACCCTCCCCCACATATGGCACAGAGCTCTTTGGCAGAAAACTTAATTGCCTCTGAGTCTCGTCCTTACTCTAATAGTCTTATAAAATAAACACTGTAAATTATCAAACAGGATTTTTGTCGTCCCCGGCAATGGAGCGGTTTCGGAGGTGCGCAGAGCCCTTAAGTGCGTTGTGTGTGTGGGCGTGGACTTATGTGGGTGGTGGGTGGTGGGTTGTGGGTGGTGGGAGGTGGTTGTATGCTCCATTTTGCATGCCAATTTTCTTATCAAACTGAAACTTGCTTCACAGTCTCCACACACATGCAGATTTAATGTGAATGGCTAAGGGACATTTTGAGGCAATGAAAAATGATTTCTTTAACTTTCAAGATTTATCGATCTATAATCAGATCAACGCTTCAGACAGGAGTTTGAATCGAACAGGATATTCGCAGTCCAACTTGTGGGATCAGAGATTCGACGAGCTGTTAGTTAACAGAGGCTGTTGGGTTTACAGTGCTGTTAGCAACATCGATACTTCGTCTTGGCTTCGAGGCTCGAGATCATATTCTTTCCCTCTACTAATTATATACTCTTCTTATATTCTTAGGTTATAATTTTCATATATTTTTCATAAATATTCCATCATTTTATTTGTGTGCCAACAGCAAAGGGCTTATGAAAATATCCTCTTTGCTCTCGATTTTCGAATACCCTTGAGTGGCTGTCATGATTATGGCTTATAGCAATGTGTGTGTGTGTGTGTGTGTAAGCCACTTTATGCTGCCTGTGCACGTAATTAGTTAACAAGTTGCATAAGCACTTCAAACCTAAGCCGTTTAAGTAGCCATATAGCTATGCTGATGATGATTCATCATCATCATCGTCTTCGTACTCGTTTTTGGTTCCTCCTTCGTTCTTTAGCCACTCTTTGTCCACTTGTAAATACCCTGTAATCGTGTGTAGCAAAGGGTTATGTCATTTTGTGGCTAAGGTATTTCTAATAATATTTACCATATACATAATTTGGGAGTTTTGTAAGACTTTGGCGACGAATTGTTACATTGGGTATCCCCTAGTCGTTAGACTAGACCTTGCCATGCTTGTAGTGGTTATATGTGTGGGTGTGTGTGTTTCGACAAGGACATTTCATGCAGCTAATGATGTATTCATTTGCCATGTTTCAGCTCTATGTCCCTCAGTCGCTCTCTTTCTTTCTCTTTCTCTGTCTCTGTCTCTGTCTGTCTCTTTTTGTGTGTGTCTCTTTTGCAGCCTTTCAATTGCGACTAAATGAAGCTCCTTGTGGGCCTGTCAGAGTATGCTGGATGCTCTGATGCCGAGAGGTTTTAGTGCACTGAAAATATACGCTACGGTGCTACTCTACTTGTATTCTTATGAGCAAATAATGCGATTTGCTTAATGAGCTTTTTGCAGGCGACAGAGAGATAGAATCGTGACCCTCCGTAAAGTAGGCAATTCGGTCAGTAAAATCAGCCTTGAACCTTGAACCTTGAACCACCACAGTGTATCTGTAGCTTTTCTTTGCTTCTCCAGTTAATTCCATTAAAATATATTCATCCGACTACGATTCCGATACCGATTCGGACTCGGAGAATTCCCAGTAGAACTATAAATAACCCTTTCGATAACAAACATTGCGATGTGTTTGTTGATAATAAAAAGGGTTGATTTATTTCTATGCTATGATGTGATTTATGACCTTTAATGGCCGCCGCCGAATGCCAGAAAAGCCAAAGGAAACAACCAAAACGAATGCTGGCCTTCGACTTTCGACAATGTGATTTAACATTTAACATTTTTGTGGCAGATGCAACAAGAAAGCCGCACAAAAAGAGCTGTAGAAAAAATCATTTTGGGCGAATGTGCGGAATAGATTTACGTTGTTGAGGGGTAAAGGATCATTAGGAACTTCAAAAAGGACTTCCAGAAAAAAACTATGATTGAAATATGTACTTTTTAGTGGCTATTTATCCACTAACCATGAAGATTTTTCTTATGTTATTCAATTAAATATTTAGTTTTGTCATTCATTTTATTACAAATTATTTCCTAACTAGGGAATAAAAAAATTAATAAATTAAAGTACTATTTGGGGGGAAATATAAAAAAAAAATTACAAATTTCACGATTAAAAGGTACTATTTTAGGGGAAAAAAGTTAAAAAAAAAAATGTTGTGAATAAAATAAACTATTTTTGGAGAAAAAATATAAAAAGTAATTTAATATTTAAAGACTAAAAAATAAAATTTAGGGGAAAAAATATATAAATATAATTACAAAATTGTACGATTAAAAAAATATATTTTAGGGGAAAAAATATAAAAAGTTATTTAAAACTTGAAGAATAAAATATACTATTTTCGGAAAATAAACAAAATATTTAAAAATTAAAAAATATATATAAATTTTTATATAATATATAAAATATAAATATATATATAAAATATAAATATATGTATAAAATATAAAATATATAAAATATGAATAATAAAAACTATTTTGGGGGAAAAAATAAAAAAGTAATTACAATTTTAAAGACTAAAAAATATAATTTTGGAAGAAAAATTAACAAAATATTCAAAAATTATACGATTTTAAGCGGAAAAATATAGCAAATAATTAAAAATTTTGGACTAAGAGATACTATTTTAGATTTTCAAAAATTTTTAAATTTTACGATTAAAAAATACTAGTTTCGGGGAAAAATTAAAAAACACTTAAAGATTTAACGACTATAATAAACTATTTTAGGGGGGAAGAAAAAAAATATTTGAAAATTATCCGTTCTAAAGATACCATTACAAAAAAAATAAATACAAAATTGTATGATTAATATATAAAATATTAGGGGAAAAATAAAAGGTAATTTAACATTTAATAATTAAAAAATGCTGTTTTAGGGGAACAAATAAAAAGGTAATTAAAGATTAGACGATTCAAAAATATTGGTACATTTTAAGGGATATTTCCGGTGATACAACCTATAAAAAGGTTATTATAACAAAGACATCTAATGATGGAAATCTAAAGGTTAGGTTCCCATTTCCCTTTAAATATCTCATCTAAAAAGTTCTGTTAAAGCATTCACTGGGAAAATGATCTAAAGGTAATGCTTTTGGGGCTGCCTCCTGCCCCATTCAGCAGCAAGAGAAATGGAAACGGCAACCGTGAAATTTATGCTTTACGCGGCATAAATTGAACTACGGACGGACTCCCGCAGCACGACGACTGATGGGCGTAACGCCCCCAGAGGGGTGCGAATATTTCCCACTGATTTTGTTTGAACAATTAAAATGCCGAACGGAAAACCCAGCCACCCACATGGCCCGGAAAACCGAGAACACATTAACTACAAATTACATTCACATTAGTGTTTCCTCCAGCCGCCTGGTCTCTCCTGTTGTTGTGCCTGTGTTGCCAGGGCTTTCTTCTTTCTGCAGTTACTTCCTTTTGTTTCCTCTTTGTTCCTTTTATTTCTTCTTTCGTTTCGTTTCGTTTTTGGTTTTTCTTCGTTTTTTTTTTTTTTTTTAAACCAAACACCTAATAAATCAAAGCGGACTCGTGAGAGAACCCCAAGAGTATGCTTGTTAAATGCTCGTAATAAATTAGCTGCCGCCGAGGCAGACCACACCAACGCCGCCCCCACCGCCACTCCGAGCCTCACCCCCCTAGACCACCCCCTTTGATTATTGGCTTAGCTCATGGTCTGGCCATTTTACAATTGCTTCCTCTTCATCTTTTGCCCCGCAATTGAACTCAATCGATGGACCCCGTCTGAGGTCTCTACCTCTCGCTCTCCCCCCCACCCCATTTCTCTGTGGCCCAGACTCAT